TAAGAACAGCATTGCCCTGATATTAAAACCAGACAAAGACATTACAAGAAAAGAAAACAACAGGTTAACATCCCTTGCCAACATAGACACAAAATTCCTTGACCAAAATTTCAGCAAACTAAATCCAGCAATATATAAGAGGATAATATACTATGGCCAAGGAGGGTTTAACCCAGAAATGCAAGGTCAGTTTAACATCAAAATAAAGCAGCAATTAATGCAATTTACTATATTAACACAATAAGAGGACACTATAAGATCATTTCAATAGATGAAGAAAAAGCATTTGACAAAATCCAATACTCATTTGTGAGAATAATTCTCAGTAAATTAGGAATAATTTCTCAACCTAATAAAGGACATTAAAAAAAAACAAAAACAAAAACCCTGCAGCTAACATCACACTTCATAGTGAAAGATTAAGTGCTTTTGTCCTTTGATTGGAAACAAGAAAAGGATGTTCACTCTCATCACTTCTATTCAACATTGCATTGGAGGTCTCACTCGTGTAATACGGCAAGAAAAAGAAATAAAAGGCACGAAGATTATAAAAGAATAAGTAAAACTCTCTTTATTCACAGATAACATGTTTGTATACATGGAACATGCTAAGAAATCTACAAAAAAGCTACTAGTGCTAATGAGTTTAGCAAAGTTGCATTATTCAAGATCAATATAAAAAATCAATTGCACTTCTATATTCTAGCAACAAACAAATGGAAACTGAGACTTAGAATACCATTTATAATGCCACCAAAATCATGAAATACTTAGGGATAAATTTAACAAAATTTGTACATGACCTATTTGCTGAAAAAAATAAATAAAAAATTGAAATTAAACAATTAAATGAAAAGATATAGCAAATTCATAGGTTGAAATATTAAATATTGTTAAAATGTTATTTCTCCCCAAATCAAGCTATAGATTCAGTGTAATCTACAGATTGCACTGTAGGGCTATTTTACATTAGCAACATGTATTTGTATATACATCAACTTAATTCTTTTCAATGGCTACATATATTCCCTTATATGAAAGAGGCATAGTTTATCTAACAGTCCATCAAAAGTGGCTGGCTAAGTAAATATTTTTTTCTTCACTAAATTTTATTTATAAACCTATGTGACGATTCAGGTATATATATATAGCTGATATATCTGTATATATGTATAAATATACATACATATGAGTAAACAATATAATATAATTGCCTTATTTTAGATTGTAGGATCCAAATAGTATTACTGGATTACAGAAGATTCTGATATATAATAGCCCATAAGCCTTATTACATGGAGTGGATGATTTGCTAAATTAGCCATGCACTGGTGATTTTATATGGGACCCCATGCCACTTTTTGGATTTCCCTATGGTAAAGACACCTGGGCCAGTCATATGGGCAGGCTCTATTCCTCTCAGCTTTCCTAGCTGGGCCCAATGCTTCTTCCAGCTGGGACTGCTTCCTTATTCCACGCCTAGCTGGCCAACCTGGCTCCCCAATTCTTGGGCTGGGACTAACTCCCTGACCACTGGCTTTATGGCATCACTAGTTTTGTATCTTATGAGGGTTATGATTAAAATCTCACCACTAATCATTTCTAATATTTGTGCTGGGCTTGCCTTCCCAAGTCCCTTCCCTTCATTTGGCAATCTAGCATTTTACAATGGACACATCTGTTTCCTACAGCTGGTATCGACCTGGAATTCTTGCAAAGAATAGGTAGCTGCTACTAGGGTTAAACTGTTCCCAGAAAAAGGCTAGATTATGTACCCAATTCTTCCACCTTAAAAATAGAAGTTTTTCATTGTGAATGCTGAGACACGTATTACTCTCACTCACTCACTCACTCACTCACTCACTCACTCACTCACTCACTCACTCACTCACTCATTTATTCAGTTGTTCATTCAATGAATGAATGAATGAACTAGGTGGGTGGTTAACACTCTGCTAGTCATTGAGGGGGAACGCAATCAAAGCACGAATGACCAAATGAATGGTGTAGACTACATGTTTTAGGAGTGTACCTGAACCTCTTAGCAGATTTGCCTTTCTCAAGTCTCTCCCTTTGCAATCTATCTTCCTCGCTCTACCAAGTGAGCTTTCTAAAAACCAATGCTCATCTGCTTTCACAGAAAAAAGTGAAGTTCTTTAATGTAGCATTCATGGGTCTTCATTATCTGTCTCCAATTTCCACTCAAGCCTTTATCTTTCCCATTCTTTCTCATAGGACCCATGTTCTACTATTATATCAAACTTCTCAGTGGTCCCATGAGGCACCAGGTTCTTTCCAATCTCTGTTCCCTTTGCCTAGAATGCCTTTCCCACTTCTTTACCTGGAAAACTCCCAGTCAATCATCTCCAGCCTTCAGTTCAAAGTTTTTTGTTGGTTTTTTCAAAGTTTTGATGAAACATTTCATCTATGCTTCTCATCTGTCCTGGATTTGAGCACATTATTCTGTTGCCTTTATTGGATGATGAGATTTTTGAGGGCATTGCTTCTATCTTGTTAGTCTCTGTATCTCTGAATCTAGGTCTGAATAGGGCCTGGCAGGTAGTAGGCACCCAAGGTATATTTGTTAAATGAATGAAGAAACATGGAACAAATAAATGCAAAGGAAGAGCTGAAAGGGTTTTGGTATATTTAGGTAAGGGATTATTAAAGGCATAAGGCTTGAAGCTGGATCTAGGAAGACAGTAGAGAGGTAGGGGAAAGGCATTTGGAAGAGGATGAGGATTATTACCCCAGGAGACAGAACAAAAGCCCAAGACTGAGAGTGAAGATAATGAGGGAGTCAGCCAGACTGTGGTTGAGTGATGCATTGTCTTGACCTTGTTAGTGACTATATCTCTCAAATATATTTTCAGCTTCTGGAGGGAAGGGTATTTTGTACACTCCTTTGTGTCCTATTTATATTTGAAGCACATCTCCATAACCATTGTTCCTACTGTCTTGTGGTTCTTATCTGCTCTGTAATATAATTATTTGTGTATCTACATATTCCCCCAGCACTTATACTGTCCACCTTCCTTGCTGCTTGAAGTAGGGGACGAGGTCTTGGTGTTTTTGTATCTTCCAAGATACTTAGCATGATGCCTGGCACACAATGGGTGCTCAATAAATATTTTTTGATCTACCATTTGTTGATCTGATTACAGAGGACCACAAGCGTATTTGTGTGCAACTGTGTATTGTGGCACAAAACTTATATATATGCCTTCACACTGTGTAGTCTATGTTTGGCAATTTTCATGAAAATATTATCTTATTAAACTTGGAAGACTGTCACTTCAATTTTTTTATTTGTTCCTTCTTGGACGACTCACATCTCTAATACCAGAAAGATATGAGAGAAGGAATTCAAAGAAGGTTTGAACAAATTTATAAATGGCAAAGTCATAAATGTCTGATTATAAGAAGTTGTTAGGAACATGCAAAGGGGAAGGAGAAATTTTAGATTTCAAAGGTGCCTATCATGTGCCAAGAACTGTGTTAGGCACTTGACATACATTGTACCTCATTTAATCTGGCAGAATATGTCAAAGTAAAGATGAGCCTGTCTGTCTATATGGCCAAACCTACACTTACTGAGGCACATTGCTTCCCCAGGTACCAGAGGCAGTGTTCATTTTTATTAAAATTTTATCAACCTTTTAAGACAGAGGAATCTATGGATTTGCATTGTTTCCTAGGAACAGAACACATTCTCAATTCAGGCTCCTATATGCTTAAAAATCTTTTTTGACAAAACTTGATCAATTTTTAAAGTCTCAGTGCTTTAAATTATAACGTAATCTGAGATATTCCCACAGCAATAACAATAATTACATTTGTTCACAAATTTGTTTGCTTACCTTTATTTTTCATAAAGCTTCCAAGTACTGAATAAAGGTAAGTCAAGTCAAGGAAAGAAACTTCTATTAACCCTGACACCAGCAAATTGTCTCAAATTATAGTTTGCCTTCTAATTTGTATTCTAGAGACACTGAGTGTTTTTTCTGAGATACATATTATACCTCATCTGTGGTTAGAAGAAAATTTTAAGGAAACTAGTTTAAGTTGTTTCTAATTAAAAAAAAAATAATAGTAACTTTCAAAAACATAATGCTCCTAAGTGGACAGCTTCTGCATCTGGGAAGAATCAAAACATTATAACCAAAGTACCATCTCTGCACCTTGGGAATTGGCTTGAGAAAGTTGGGAGGCAGGTATTGGTTCATTATTATAAAGTCACACAGTCTAAGGCCTGCTGCTACACATCCCGATCTGTGATAACATGCTTCCTGCTAGGTGTGGAGGTAAGGTGGGAAGAGAAGGGATACACCTTTGGGTAAAGGATTGTCAGCACACTCACAGGTCCCAGATAGCTTTCTATTAACCTGTTTTGGGAAAACTAGAACAGGTATCTTTGCTTTGGAAAACATAAAGCACATCTCATATGATTAAAGAAAATGGTGAGGGTTCAAACGGTATGGTTCACATTTTGAATGGTCCTGCCACTATCACTGAAAAACACCAGACCTGTCTTTTTGGTGATTATGTGTTTCTTAAATTTCACAATAGCCAAAGGAAATTGAGAGACCAAGACTACCACCAAAGAACATAGGTGTGACATACTGCCTATGGGACTTTTTAAAGATAGATAAAAACCCAGCTTATACATATAGAAAAGTGCCCCTTATTTTTCAAGGTAGGGGATGAAAATATGCACATATTCCAAAGAGTTCTTTGTGTGAATAGGTGACCCCTTCCCACAGTCTCTGTAATTAATTGAGAAATTAAAGTTGGTTGGCCTTTGAGATCTCTTGTAAGAAAGGCAGAAGGTCTTGGATATTTTGGAACAAGAGTCCACTATTCTGCCAAGACAGTGTGTTATTGTTATTGGAGTGTCTCTCAACAAAACGGTATTGAGTAGTGAGGACATGATTTTGATTAGGTGGAATGACTCAGCTCTTCCTCTTAAAGAAGAGAGGACTTGTCAGAGCCTTACTTACCTCATGATCTGGGATCTCAGAGGATAGTGTTTTTCCTAGGATGACCCCGGTCAAGTATGTCCAGCATCGAGCTGTGTTGGCAAGGTTATAGCCTCCTGTCTCCACCAAGAATTGTGAAGTTAGGAAAGAATAGTCACAAAACAGCAGGAGAGGGAAGGGGGGTAAGGAGAGAAAAATGTTTTAATAAAAGGGCTAAAAGACAACTTCAACTTGCAGAATTTCAACCAAGTATCTCCTTATATTTTTAAACCACCTAGTAGTCGGACTTCAGTGGACCAGCCAGACCATGCACAGTGTGAAACTGGGAAGTTCAAGGCCTATGAAGATGAAAAAGGTTCTAGTCTCAGAACAAATATGCACCTGAGCTCTCAATTGACTCTAAGCTCCTCAATTCCATCAAGAGTCATCGGCAAGAATGAGATCCCTGGAACCTGGATCTCTTGAAGTGACCTACCTAACGTAAAGGTTTCTGTGATAAATTTTGCAACAATTCTATAAAATGACTGCTGGATGTGGTTTGCATGTTAAATCTATTGGCAGATGTAGCCCTACATACATCCAGGAAAGAGAAAAGAAAAATGCTAAAGAAACAGACTTCCTTCTTTTATTATCAGCATTCCTTTTCTCCACAAAATGCAGGCCTAGTAGCAGAGATCAAAGAAAACGAGATAAGGAAGGGACTGTTGATTCACACTTTGATCTATCTCATCAGGTCCTGTCATGGTCACCCAGAAGCCATATTATACTGGCTAATAATCAGCATCTTTTTGTTCTGAATAGATGTGTTCTGCCATGCAAGCATCAGAACATTAGCCTTTAACTAAATTCCAAAAGTGTAAGGATAAAATGGAATGATTTCCTAACCTCAATGCAGCCCGAGGGAAATCAAATTTAGTCTATTTTAGGTAGGGTAACCATGACATTTATCATCCAAAATGGTACAGTTTTAAAGGTAAAAGGGGACACTATTTGTAATTACACTGGGATAACACGTATAAATTGGGACATATGGTCACCCATTTCTTGAGTCTTTCTATTCCTTGAAAGGTCAGGGAGGCTGGGGCTTCTGGACTATGTCTTTTAGGCCTCAATAAGGTCCACAGAAGCTTGGGCTGTGGCCACCTCCACAAATTGTTTATGTGTTATTGGCATTGAAAATTTAAGTGAAATAGTATAGGTATTACTTTAAACAGTCTTGATGTGGAAAATCTAAATTTCTAAGGTTGACTTATTGGGTGTGATTATTTGATTTCAAAAAAAATCACTATAGGTTGTTTTTTTTTTTTACACTCTGAAGTTTAAGATACTTGATGATGGAATTACCAGATACTCAGTATGGACTACCTCAGTCTCACTATAGGTTTTAAGTAATAGTTCTCACTAGTGTACATACAATATGATTTCCAAAAATTCCATTTATGCACAGGCATTTTCAGGAATACACATATTTCAAAAGCCAAAACTTTGGACTGAGGAAGCTAAGAGGCTTTAAAAATGGTAAATAAAGGCTGTAGCCTCAAACAAAAGTTGAATTCGCACAGATACATGTTGTGGAAAGGCCTTTGTTTTCTTCTCTCCTAACTGTACTTGTATCATAATCACCATTCTTTGTGCCATTAAGGAAAGTAGTATGTCACACAACACTTATCAATTTTATCTTTTCCCTGAGTTGAAGTTAATACATCTTTTTCTGGCTTTTTATAAGAGGTTGTCTCTTGTAAGCACCTTTAATTTTGAGTCCTCTAGAGTTTGAGGCTGCCAAAGGACCAGGCTTGTGTATTTGCATGGATGCTCACTAATATTCATAAGACCTTCCCACGATCTCCTCTAATTTTGTTTTTTACAACAGGTTGGCAGAACAACAAATTATTAGCTGTTCCATAATACACACTTTTTAAGCTCAGTCTAACTTGACCATGTTATTTTAACACATTGACACATTCATCCAATAAAATAAAGATTGTGCCAAACAGATAGAAGATTCTAAGCAAGGATTCTTCAAAGGTAGTTGAGGTTGTGAAAGGTGCCTTTCACAGATGTGTAAATGCTTCTATTGAACAGACTCAGCTTTCTGTTGGCTAAGTAATACAAAACATCAGTACACACTGAGGGCAAAGATGTCCAAAAGACCCTACCTCTCTCCATTTTACTTCACTGTAACAAATCCATGCTTTTTCAGGGGGGTGGGAGACAGAAGTAATTCCTGATTTCAGCTTAGGCTTAATGAATTCACATGTTTACAACATATATTTGAGTAGGGTTATAATTTTAGTGGTATGTTTCTATATTATTATTATTAGAACTGGGAATCAAAGACTGCACTGAGAAAAGATGGATCAAAGTCCACTATCAACATTCTCTATTCTTAATAAGATCTGGTGTCACCTTTAACCCAAAGACCTAAGCTTCAGGAACTGAACATTTACTTCAGAGTGCCAAGGAGTGGATGCATATGCCAAACTGATCAGAAGTGTGTCAGAGCACTTACTTATACTGAACTGTGAAGGTGGCAGAATTCACTGACTCAGGCTTCTGGACCACAGGCAGGTTGATATTATCTAATCTAATTAAGTCAAGTTTTCCTCAGTGTCAATAAATTAAATGTAGAGGAAGGTCAACAAATTCTCCTGGTGACCTTCCTTTTTACTCACCTCCTCCCAAAATGAGCGTTGCCAATTGCCACTGGAGGATGTACTTAAGACACCTGCCAATTCCCACTGGAGTCATGTTAAAGGAGCACATGGGATCCCCAGCTATTGTATCAGCGCCCAGCTGTAAGACCACCGCTTTGGGATTAAAGGCTATGTATACCTCCTTTAATACACTGTAGAAAAGAGAAAGAATACAAAATGTCAGAATATGATAGGTCAGTTTGCTCTTACCTATCACTGCTCTAGGGGTGGTGATGGTGGTAGAGCCAATGGGAGGTATAGTTGAATCAGGAAATACTGAAGGAAAAAAAAAAATCCAACTTATCAAACTCATCAAACTTTCCACCTAAAAAGGGTGAATCACACTGTATGTAAATTATACCACAGTAAACCAACTTATATAAAAATTCTATCCACTTCCATCCTCAAGGACCAAATTTGTCCTGAGTTTCAGAATTCAGACTTCCTTGACACTTTCATATTAATTTAACTTCAACAGCCATAGTACACAGTGTACACATTTACTCCATTTTACAATCTGGGAAAATAAGTCATATATATTGACTAGTTACTAAGGATTACTTCTCATAATTAAGACTGTCAACATACTTTGAGCTTATCACCTAGTTATTACTGGAGGCTGGTGAAGAGAATTATATGCTTTGAAAGCATAAACATTATCAGCTTACTTTTTATTATGCTAAAGGACTACTGGGTTATGAAATGCAGCCCTCTCCAATTAATTCGTAACAAGAGTATTATAGGGAAGGGAACTACAACAACTGATCCAAAATTAAAAATCTGAAAGCAGCCTAAAGAACAAATTGTAGTGGGTAGGAATGAGCATAATTTTGGGTAGAATCATTCAATGCTATCAAGTCAACCTAACAGCTTTTTTTCAAGTTAGAAAAGGAAGTTGTTAATGTGACAAATGACCTTAGTCAGGTTTCCAGTATTCTCATTAATTGAACACTGACAATGTCCAGAATGCATTCCTAGGAGTTATAAGGTCCCTGCTCTCAAGGGGCTTACAATCTAGTTCCTAGACAAAACATATACCCGTACTCAAGGGCCTGAGTAACTCTCACAGAGACATATAAACATGTGCAAATTAACATACTTCAGAGTTGAGAAAAAGCAGAGTCAAAAAGTGATTAAAAATGCTGGGGTTAATATCCTTTCATAGTCAACATGTCAAATTATACCAGTGCAGCAAAAACAGAAAAATCCAAGATCCTTCTGAAACTGCAAAAAGAATTCAGGGATATAAAACGCCGATCTCTCAAACTCATATGTAATGAGGGCATTGAAACTATTGAAAAGTGCTCAGTTGCACAGACATTCTTTGACTCAAAGGACAGTTTTGTTTTGATTTCTCATCTATGCAGGCAAATATTGAGTGATTGTGGAGATTATAAGAATATTATAAAACTTAAGACATACGATACTCAATATAGGAATACTCAGGTCTATCCTCTTTTTCATGTGCTTATCTCCTGGGTGCAGAGGAATGATATGCCACCAAGAAGGCATACCATTTTTGGCCTTACATACAACAACAAAAATCAAATTTCCTAAGCATTATTTTTCAGCAACACCAATACTTATCTCATACTTTTCCAATGGCTCCCATTTTAGCAAAAAGAGTATTGGGGAGGTAAGAAAGACTAATACTTTCTCATTCATTCTTTCCCTCAGTTTGCACACATTAACTGAGTGTCCTCTGTATGTTCAGCATAAAACTGTGCCAGAAGTTGCAGGAACAAAGATGAATGTGGCACAGTTCTTATCTTCATGTGCCTCAGAACAGAAGGGAAGACTCAGACTATGTCAATAAATAAAAATACAATGATAAATGAAGTATCAGAGATGGCACAGAGGAGAGAGTAATAAACTTTTCCAGATGATGTCAGAAAAGGCTTTACAGGAGTACTTCCTGACTTAGGTCTTAAAAGATGAGAAAAACTATCATGAGTCACCTATCAAAATGGCTAAAATGAAAAATAGTAATAACATCAATTGCTGGTGAGGATGTGGAAAAAACAATATCACACATACATTGTGGGTGGGAATATAAAATCATATACATAGCCACTCTGGAAAGTCCTTTGGCTTTTCCCATCAAAACTAAAAGTAGACTTACCATATGATCCAGCAATTGCATTCTTGGGCGTTTATTCAAAAGAAATTAAGACTTATTGTCATATAGGAACTTGTACATAAATGTTCATAGCAGCTTTATTTGTAACAATCCAAACTTGAAACAACTAAGATATACTTCAACAAGTGAATAGTTAAACTGTGGTACATCCATACTATTGGAATATTGCTCATCAATAAAAAGAAACAAACTACTGATACACGTAAAACAACTTGGATGGATCTCAAGGGAATTATGCTGGGTGAACAAGGCCAATTCCCAAATCTATAATGCATGATTACACTTATATACCATTTGTGAAATAATAATTAGAGGGATGGAGAACAGATTAGTGGTTTCTAGGAGTTAGGGATGGGTGTAGTTGCATGACAGAGCCTTGTGGTGATGGTACAGTTTTGTATCTTTTTAAAAAAAATTATTATATCTTTATTGGTTTCAGAGAGAGGAAGGGAGAGGGAGAGAGAGAAACATCAATGATGAGAGAGTCATTGATAGGCTGCCTCCTGCACGCCCCCTACTGCGGACCGAGACTGCAACCTGGGCACATGCCCTGACCAGAAATTGAACTGGTATCTCCTGGATCATAGGTCGATGGCTCAATGGCTGAGCCATGCTGGCCAGGCTACAGTTCTGTATCTTGGTATGGAAGTAGTTTTGGTTATACAAAGCCACATAGACACACACACAGACACACACAGACACACACAGACACACACACACCAGTACATGTATAACTGGTGAAAAGTGAATGAGCTCTATGGATTGTACCAATGTCAACTTCTTGATTTTGATATTGTGCTATAATTGTGCATGATGTCAACATTGGAGGAGGGTTGAGGAAGGGTGCAAGGGACTTCCCTCTACATTTCTTTGCAACCTCCTGTTAATCAATGATTATCTAGAAATAAAAGTAAATAAAAGATTAGGATGGGTAGAGAAAAGGATAATTAGAAACTTTGAAAAAGGTAGGGTATTTTGTATACAGTACACATGTCAAAGCAACTAGAAATGAGGACAGCTTACAGAGTGCTATATGGTGGGCATTTTTAAATTCAAGACTGGAAGTTTTGATTTGGTTTGATGGTCAAATGGGAGCCACTGGAAAAGTATGAGATAAGTAGTGGTGTTGCTGAAAAATAATGCTTAGGAAATTTGATTTTTGTTATTGCATGTAAGGCAAAAGAGAGAGTCTGGAGACAGGGGGATTAACAAAAAGGGTATCGAAATATTCTAGGCACAAGAGCAACAGGAAGCAAGGTAAGGCCAATTGGGAAAAACCTGAGAGGGCTCAGTGACAGATTGGGTGGAGGGTGTCAAAGGGGAAAACACACCATGCGCATTCCTCCTGAATTCACAGGAAGAGGAAAGAGAAATTGAAATATTCCTTTCCCCACTGCTACTTCCAAATCCAATATTCTTACTTGTCATCTACCTCTTCTTTGAGGTCAATGTCACTTGCTTACACTACTCAAATATGAAATTTCTTACCTATATACCTATAATGTACTCTTTCACCTCCCTAGAGGATTTTAGCACCTAGTTCACAATTTTTCTGTCTCTCCCTTTCCTTCCCATCATTCTCTGCAGTTCATTATCTATCCACTCACTAAAACCTTTTTTCTCCCTGAATTGTTTTTAATTAAATTTATTGTGGTGACAGTGGTTAACAAAATCAAATAGGTTTAGTGTGTACAATTCTATAATACATCATCTGTATATTGTATGTTCACCACCCCAGGTTAAGTCCTCCCTTTACCCTCTTCTCCCTCCCGCCACCCTTTTCCTTCTGGTTATCACCATACTATTGTCTGTCTATGAGGGTTTTTCCCTTAATCCCTTTACCTTTGTCACTCAGTCCCCCCAACCCCCCTCCCCTCTGACAGCTGTCAGTCTGTTCTCTGTACCTATGAGTCTGTTTCTATTTTGTTTGTTAGTTTATTTTGTTCCTTAGATTTCACATATAAGTGAAACCATATGGTACTTGTCTTTCTCTGACTTGCTTATTTCACTCAGAATAATGCTTTCCAGGTCTATCCATGCTGTCATAAAAGGTAAGATGGCCTTCTTTTCCAAGTCCCTCACTCACTGAAACCGTGATTCAAGCGCCTACTTTCCCTATGCTAGGCACTAGAGATATAGAAACAAGTAAGACCCAAGGAGCTTATGGTCCATTAGGGGAAGAAGACAGGAAAACAAATAACTATGATGTTATAATACTAACTCTTTTTCCTTCCTTCCTTCCTTCCTTCCTTCCTTCCTTCCTTCCTTCCTTCCTTCCTTCCTTCCTTCCTTCC